GATCAGACTCGAGGGCACATAACAACAACAACAACAAAGGAGCCCAGAAGGCCTCCCTTTATTATAAAGGAAAGATTTTTGCTATTATTAACTTAGAAAGAATAATAAAAATTAATTTTATCCACATATAAAAAGAATAGTGCTCCCCACATTTTAGTGCTAAAAAGAAATCAATATTTGTCTCCTCTCTTCTCTTGTGTGTGTATGTAAAGTTGCAAGAAATGGGAACAAGTGTCAGTAGACTATTCCTTTTAATTTGCAAACCCAGCTTCCTGGGGGATGAGATTCTGGCGGTTGGTTGCCCTGATGCTTGGAGCCCCGAACTGATCCCACTTCCCCGTCTCATATTGCAGCAGAACCCACAAGGCAACCGACCACGAAACGGAGAAAAAGGAAAAACTCGACCAGCAGTACTTCCAATAGCAGTGCTGGGAACAATGCAAACAGCACTGGCAGCAAGAAGAAGACCCCAGCTGCAAACCTGAGTCTGTCCAGTCAGGTACCTGTAAGTCTCACTTTTCTTTTAGGCCTGACCTCCTGCCTTTGCCTGTCTTCCTATTCAAAGGGGCCCAAATGAAGGTGTCTTAGCTGCAGAACCATTCTGGGCAGGTGGTGGCAGGGGCGGGGCTGAGATGGGAGGGAAGACCTGTGCATGGAAACCATCCCGTGCAAACTGGGAGTTAGAAAGGAATACAGTAAGTCCCCGGGTTACAAACTTCTGACATACGGACAGCTCCTGCTTGCCCTTTAGTGTTATATAAATTTCCCCTCACTTTGAAACAATTGAACCAGCCCCTATTCACAACACATTCTTCATTGCCATCACCTTCACCTGCTGCACATGCAGCTTTTAAATTAGTGAAAATGCTTCAAGCCTTGCCTTGCACTAAAGTAATGCTAAATAAGAACCATATGCACCTGTTCCAACTTACACAAATTCGACTTAAAAACATACTTAGGAATGGCTCTCCCTCATAACCTGGGGACTGCCTTATTAAGAGTCTATGCTGCAATGGGACCTGAATTAAAAAGCCATCAGAGTCACAGACAGGAGATATGTCACTTAAGGTTTAATTAAAATATCACTTAACCGCATGCCGGTGGCAGATTAGGGCCGCTCGCCTGGCGCAATGGAGACCCTGGGCTCCACCGGAAACGAGCGCCTGGCACTCAGGCTCCATATTGTAATTTGACTTGGGCCTTCCCAACATGGGCGTCCCCTCCTATTTTAAGACTCAGGTAATTAACTCACAGCCATTAAAAGTGCAGCCCGGTGGATTTTGCTTTGCCCATTTCATTAGCTCAGAGGAAGGATCAGCCCAGGGCATGAACATTTGGTCTCAACTCTCTTGACCTTTTGACCCTTTTCTTTTATTTGTGGATCTTGGCAAAGGAAACAGGCCACTGGGAAGGGGGCATCTTTGAATCCCAAAGCTGACAGCCGCAGGTAGCCCCCAAGTAGTGTAAAGTGTGCCAGAACTTCCCATCTCTCAGTGTGATTATTCTTCATCTCCTGCTACTTCTTCCCAAACTGTCTTCCTTATTTCTTTCTGACTCCTGATTCATTCTACGGCCCAGTATTACATCCTTTGTTGCTTTGAAATGCTCATGAGCATTAAGCGTCTGTTGCCTCTTTTCCCTCCATAATTCCTCATGGCCTTTCCTCTTTGCTGCCTTTATTTCCTCACTCTTCACTAGACATTTAACTGTCATTTGAATCCCGACACTTGCTTCCTGGTGCGTCCTGGGTATCCTCTGGTTACTGCATCTTTGGAAGTGTTCTCTGTCTCTTGGTACTTCCCTCACCCCATACAGCTTTAACCTTTCCCTCTCTTTCATTTGTTTCTCTCTCTCTTGGTCTGTTGTTCCTACCTTCTTGTCCCAATCTTGCTCCATGTCTCCATGTGAGTAGAGCTTTTCCAAGGGATTCCTCATTTCCTTTCAGATCTGCCCCCACCCACGTTTAGCCACTTTCCATTGGTCAGTTCTCTTTGGCCAAAACCAACCGCAGTGGTAACCTGAGAGTTGCTGTCTTCTCCTATCTTCCATGGACATGGAGTTTGGTTTCCACTCCCACCACATTAGAAGGCAAAGGTCATGGAAATAGTGACCAGTCTGCTGGGAGAGGCACCATTTTAATGATAAGACCATTAGAAATTGTAGTTCTCAAACAAGACCAAGGTCACCTCTATTCCCTGAACTGGGGTTCATACCTGAAGAGCCAAAGGGGGGAAAATGAAATGAGAAAAACTGAGTCTCTCTGAATGGACCAGTAAGTTATACTCACTCATGGAAAAGACCACACAAGCCATCCATTTACCCAAATGATCCTAGAGCTTTAGAAACTAACATTTGTTAGTTTCATCGGGCAGATTAGGAAAATACATCCCAGAAAGCTCTGGAACTGTGGCATAGCTATGTAAAGGCACAGTTGCTGCAAGAATTCAGGTTGGCTCAACAAATATTTGATGAACTCCAATTCATGTGCCCTACACTAGGCCAGATATTGGCAATATCAAGGTTAAAAAAAAAAAAAAAAAAAGCCCAGATCCTGTTATTGAAGACTTGAGTGTATCTAAGTATGGCAAGAGGTTTCCTCTCTCCTGCCAGCGCCATCCTGTGGTGTCAGCTACACCGAGCACAGTATTGAGTATTCTGAGTCCCAGATTGAGCTTGGTGTGCCATCCATTAGTGATGTCTGCCATGCCATCCATTAGTGATGTCTGCCATGGATGGAGACAATGTTTTAGTTAGAACCCTTTTATTTTCACCAAAGAGCACCCATTCTTTTCTACCCCATAATGCTCCTCTCCTCCAAAGCAACAACTCCCTTTAGTGGAAGATACTTGTATCAAAAAGGTTTTTAATAAGTAGAGACCCTTCGGACTTTATGAAGACAAGACACCATTAGAAGGTGAGAGTTGAATTTCACCACTATCCTCACACCATGCAATTAAAAACGTTTTAATTGAGTGAAACATACAAATGGCCAAGATAGGCAAGGAAGGTAACCAGGTTAGGAGATGCAAACATTTTGATGTGTAATAGTTGAATGAGCTTTACATGATAAGGATCAGGTGGCTTGTACTGACCACCTCATTTAACCCTGTTTACTCAGTTACTAATATTGAACTGTTTAAATAGTAATGCTATCCCTAAGTATCCCCCACCTGTTCCAAAGGCATGAACAGACTCAGCGAGCAAAAGCGACCACAGCTGTGGTCCATTCAGCTGCCAAGGCAGCATTGTGTGTTCCTGGTGAGAACTAGGGTTTAATCCTTGGATTCTGCTTCTCACTCCATGAGCAGGGGCTAGGAGCGATCCCGAACTGCAGCCTCAACCCTGGGAGGGATGGAGACCTGTGTCATTCAACAGCAGTGACCCCTTCTGGCCAATTTAAGGAGAAGCATTGAGGGGCCCTGAAAGGAGTCACTTCCAGTCCTCCTCAGAGGTTGGTGGTCCTTGCACGGGGGATTAGTGAGAAGATGTGACATGGGCAAGAGCTGGTGGCAGCTCCAGGCCTCCAACCAAGGAGCAGAGAGCTGCCTCCTGGAGACCCAAGGGCATATGGGCTACTTGCAAAGGGATCCCTATTGTCTGCTATGGGATAAACAAGATAGCAAAGATGGGAAGGCAATGGACTTTCACTACTCATGTTGGGGGGATTTTGAAAGACAAGAGGGTGGGGGAGATGATGCCAACATCTCAAAACTAGGGGCAGTTCAGGATACGCATCATGTAAGACTTTGTGTGAGACTGCTTAGGGTGGGAACTGCTATACTCTCCTAGACTATCCTAAACTATCCTAGTCCAAAGGTTCAGAAGAACCACGTAGAGACATGCACATACTTGGGTAAGTGGAAGTATCTAAGTGCATATGAAGTCCTCATTGCCAACCCACATGTCTCTTTTGTACCTCACCTTCTAACAGCTATGCACCTGCACACACACATACCCAGACACGCAATTAGGTATCAGGGTAAGGATATTTTTCTGTGAGCAGTAAAACAAACGTGGCATCTCTCTGAAATTTAGGATGCTTACAAATAACAATCTGGGCATCTTTCCCAGAAGTTCATAACACAACGGTGTGGCAGACAAGTCACAAATGTAGGTCAGCCCCACATGAAGGGATGCAAATCACTATTTTCATGGCACTTTTCTGGAATGGCTGTTGTTTTCTAACACAGTGCATCTGGAAGGTTGAGAATTTCACCTTCTAATCTCATGCTTACGTTGGCTTCTTCTTATTTCAAGCCTCTTCTCTGAACTGATGCTTACCTTCTCATGCTCTCCCAAACTCTCTCAATGACCTTGTAGTCACAATAATAATGCAGATCCACATGGGTGCTTATAACATCCTTCTCTTCCCCCCACCCCCGAGACCTCACGCATGTATTTTCAAGCCCTTCAAAGTGTGCTGCACAGCAGTCATCAAATGAGATTAACAATCCACATCATCCTCTGGCCACACTCACCATATTCTTTCCACTTACCTCTATTCCTGATCATTAGTGAGGTCTTCCCTGCAACTAAGTGGTATGATTTTATGTGAACATCCCCAGTGAGTCAAATGGCAGCTGCCCCAGCTAACCCAATAACGTTCACATCTCTGTGGGCAAATTCTATCTAAAACCCTGTCAGAATTCCTGCCACTCGTAAGCATTGTGTCTCTTTTGCATCTCAACTTCAAGCGTCCTCATGAGTCCCCTTACATGCCACTGTCATGCCTGGTTCTTTGCTGCATGAAATAGATGTTCTTGGATGCACACATGGGCATATCTTACTGGTATCTTTACCAATACCTTCATGGCTGGGTTTACCAAGGTCATCCTTTCAGCATTTTCTTTATCTGGACCATTGCTGCTTAGAATCATTTCTATCAAATCCCAAGAATGATTCGTCAGAAACACACTTTTGAAACCTATTGATGATCTCCCCTAATTCTAAATATTCTAGTTCTGTCCTTGGGTTGGGGGGTGGGGGGTTGGGGAACTACTAAAACATTTTCCATTCCAAAATCGACCAGGTGATAAATAAGACATTTGGCCGATGAGCACTTTCAAAATTCATGAGGGGATCTGAGAGCCTCCTGGATCTTCTCCTGACCCTGACTACATGTACTCTTCTACTGTACCATTCCAGGAAAGCCCTCTTGGGCAAAGCCCCATTGGCCAGCATTTTTGCCCAGTTGTCATGGTGCCTCATGAAATTTCCCTCCCTAGTAGGAAGGCCACCATTCCATCTCCAAAAGTATGTGGTCCCATTTTTTCCCAGTTTGTCATCCTCATGGAGTCAGTGCACTTTTAAGTGGAATGTTGCTCAGAGTCTGCCCAGAAGTGTCCATCTGACAGGTGTCCTGTCCCATACCCAGGTCACCCATCAACCCCATATGGTCCCCTTTGAGCAAAGAGGCCGGAGCTGTGCCCTGTGTATGCATCTTTCTCCCCCGTCCCTGTGCCTCTCCAGGTGTGGCCTCCAAGATGCTCCCAGCTACAGTAGGTGGCTTCCTTGTTTGCATGGAAGGGCAATGTGTGCTGAAAAGCAGTGATTAGATGAATTCTTCTTGCACGCTCCCCTTTTTGATGACACCAGCTTCATCAATGTGATGATAATGAGTGCGCTTCGTCTTCCTTTTACAGCACCAGCTGGCCAGACTGGTCCTCTTTACTGCCCAGATTGGTGGCAGGGTTGCCTGTGTGGGGATAGGTGAGAGGCACCATGAAATAACAGATGGTAAATTCAGGGCTTGTTGGCAATCAGCAGGTTTTTGCTAATGACTTAATTAGCTATGCAAATTGTCAAATCAGTGTGAACATTGTTTTTATCGAAAACTTTACCTAAATTAATTACCATAATTAAGTAGCAGAATGTCAAGGATATCGGCTGCAAAGAAGGGCCTGGCTGAGCAGAGGAAGGAGCGACTCTATCTCCAGTGAAAACCTATCCCGTCCTTGGGACAGACAAAATAACCATTTGCAAAGAGTGGTGTGACTGTAGCAGACTGGCAGCTTGCAGAGGTCTCTGTTCGCTGCTTGTTTCTAAAAGCCACTCGCAGGCCCCAAATAAGAGCGGCGGATTTTTGGAGGTATGGCCAGGCACCCTGCAGAAGGTTCCACACATCCCTCTGAAAAGTCCCCCATTTCAGCAACTTAACAGCGTGGCGTTTTTTTTTTTTTTTTTAATTTTGGAAAATCCATTTTTTTATTTCTGCAGATTGCTAGCATTGCTCCTTCTCCGCTCTCAGGCTGCTCACTCAGGACATAAACTCGCGTGGTTGGCCCACAGCAGGAGGCGATGTTTATTTCCCGTAGAAATCAAATATGCGTCTCGGCCCCCAACATCGACATTTGACCCCGTTGCACATCCCACCAGTGTGTCTGCCCTAGCTTCCCCCCGACTGCTCCCACGGTTGTCTTACGCTGAGCTTCTCTCTCCCAAGGTTTCCCTGTAATAATGTCAGCTGCTGTTCACAGGATGTGATGGTGGTAGGAGAGCCAACTCTGATGGGAGGAGAGTTTGGGGACGAGGACGAAAGGCTAATCACTAGATTAGAAAACACGCAGTATGATGCGGCCAACGGCATGGACGACGAGGAGGACTTCAACAATTCACCCGCCCTGGGGAACAGCAGCCCTTGGAACAGTAAACCACCTACCACTCAAGAGACCAAATCAGAAAACCCCCCACCCCAAGCTTCCCAGTAAGAGCATCCGCCCGCACCTCCACTCTCAGTAGGCCAGTGGGGCAGTGGGCACTGTCCCAGGTCTTTACTTACAGGCGAGAAAAGAGGAGAAATATACAACCTTTTCCACGCAGTTATCTATTTCTAAACCACAATGATCTGATGTTCTTTCTTCCACTATTATTAATTGTTTTTGTTTTTTGTTTTTGTTTTTTTGATTGAGAGGATCATTCCCGATCAGCTTGTGGGACCCTTCTTGGAGGCTTTCGCAGGTAATACAGATACTGGCACTGCTTGTAATTAACGTGAACAAACGCTAGTGCAGCGCCTGGCAGGTTTCTAACACCGTGTTTGTGTCGAATTTCCTTCTCATGCATCCGACGAAGGCCATATTGTCCAAAAGTCCTCAGGACCTCATGAATTGTGCCGATGACTTTTTAATATTGTGAAATATTTTCTGCTTTTTGACTTGCATCTGAAAGTTTCTCGTTTCAGTAAAAAAAAAAGAAAAGAAAAGAAAAAGATCTACGTTGGGAAAGTAATTTCAGTGGACCTTTCTTTCCTTTGCTTCACATTTTCTTTCATTGGGTAACAGCCAAGAGGGCCCGGCGGGGAAACTGGTGGTAGCATGATGTCCATCGGCTCTTGAGTAATTTACCTGAGAGTTCAAACAAGAAATGTCTTTTTGTCACCAAAGACACAAAGGCAGATTTTTATGTCAAGAAAGGCAGTTGGCCCCTTGAAATGTATGCATTTGTAAATTTGCTGTTGATCCAAATATTTCCAAACCATGTAATCCATTAATTTTGTGGGCAGCTTAATGAATCTGAAAATTTTTTGTGGTTTTTTTTTTTTTTTTTTTGTATCTGAGTTGACCTTTCTTTTCATAGCATATTTCTTGTACAATATTTTGTAAAGCCCTCAGCTGGTTCTTTTATGGGGACTTTTGTTTTTGGGGCAGTTCCAGTGTATTTATGTGAAACTTTATAAGAGAACTAATTTTTCCATTTGCATATTAATATGTTTCTCTACTCATGTAAAGACACAGTGGCTCCGTGTGTTAACAGACAGCTGTATTTTATGTATGCTTTACTGATAAACGTGCCAATAATAAACCGTGTTAACAACCAAAGCAAGCGGATCTGGCTGTTATGTGAGTACAGAGCTTGAAATCTGCCCGCAGTTATGAGACATGGTGAGCTTGGCTCTAAATCCAGACCCCAAGTGGGACTGAATCGGTGTACCTGTGCTACCTCTTTGAAAACATGTTTCTCTTGCCCAGTAACTGCAGTTTCCCACCAATGCAGACCTGCAGGCCACTCCTCTGTGCCAGGCACTGTGCTGGCTGAGGGCACAATGATGAGGAAGGATGAAGTGGCTCTGTGCTCCTGGAGCGGGCAATCCAACAAAGTCTGATTGTAGTTTGACAGTAGTTCCCCTGGGCAGGGAAATCGTTAACATACTCAACTGCTAACCTAAAGACTCCTCGGAAGGAAGATAGGGAAATCTACTTCCGTAGTGATACTGCCTCAGAAACCCAAGGAGGGGTCACTAGGAGTCGAGTCCCACTCGATAGCACGTAACAACAACAACAACAACCTAAAGACTGGAGGTTGAGTTCACCCAGAGGCAGCTCGGAAGTAAAATATCAGCCACTGAGAACCCTGTGGGACACAGGTCTATTCTGATGCACAAGGGATCGCCATGAGTTGGAGGCAACTACACTGAGTCTACTCACTGAGTGCTCGTTCTCCTCCACACAACCCTATATTATGTTCTTCACACTCACAAACGTGACTGCAGTTCATCCTCACATGGCAGGCATTAGTATCCCATTTAAGAAACCAATGTGGCCTTGGTTACTTGCCTATTTGTCTAAGAGATTTGCCAGAGAGAGAGCATGGGAAATTTACTTGTGGACCTTTTTTTTGTTTACAAACGTTTTCCTCCTATTTCTGCACTTTGTCCTAAAGAGGAAAGGGTAGAATAGCTTCTCACCTTCCATGGGGAGTTTGATTTCGGACCAGTGCTGCCCAGGTGCAGCCATCCCCCATCCGTCAGCAGACGCTGGGGTGTTGCTGTCATGCTGATCAGGTCTCAGCAGAGCTTCCCAGACTACGAAGAAAGGCCTGGCAGTCTACTTTCAAAACCCCACCAATGAGAACCCTGTGGGTCACAGTTGTGATCCACTGCTGACTGTGGGGATGGGGAGGGCCCAGGCAGCTTTATTCTGTTGGGCACAAGGCAGCACATGTCAGGGAGGACTCGACATCGGGTAACAACTCATTAAAGAAGAAATGGGGAACAGGGATCTGTTGAGCATGACTTACATGCCAGGCAACTTTAAGTGACGATCTCAGTAAATTCAGGGTGGTAGTTAGGTTTATGTGTCAACTTGGCTGAGCAGCTCGATGTAGTATTCCCCATGATGAGACTGATAATCAACTTCACGGTAGAATCTACTGTGTGCAGCTGGGTAGCTGCTTTAGGGGTGTGGTCTACTTCCCATATATAAGCAGCAGCTTTGGGAATGGTCTCTAGCTTATGGCATGCTTGACTCTGCTTGTAGCCGAGTCATTATTCAGCAGCCTACCATGCTCTGTCGATCTTGGGACTTTTAATGGACTTAAATTAATGGCCTGCTGTGTGGTTTGGTAATATCAGAACTGTGCCTTACTATGGTCGACCTTGGGCTGGTCAGCCTCAGCAGCCCCAGCTGAGTAAAGAAAAGCTTCCAGCTTCAGTGGGCTGGGAGCAGGAGGCAGAGCTGAAGCCCAAGGCTGAAGGACTTTCACTCAGCCCCTAGAGCCTGGCGATTTAAACTCAGACTTAAAGCCTCCAAACTGTTAGAGAATAAACTCCTGTTTGTTAAACCCATCCCATTTGTGGTCTATTTCTGTCAGAGCTGCACTTGGGAACCAGAGCATTCACCAACACAGTGTTTGGGAAAGAGAAGGAAAGGAAGGTTAAGTGTCTTAGGCTGGGACCCTTGGAAGCAAAGCCCGAGAACAGGATTTGATGAGCACGTGGTCTGGTGGCATAGTGCCTAAGGCATTTGACTGCTAACCAGAAGGCTGGCAGTTCAAACCCACTAGCCACTCCTCAGAAGGAATATTGGGCAATCTACTTCCATAGAGATACCGCCTCAGAAACCCAAGGAGGGGTTAATATGAGTCAGATCTGACTCCACAGCAGTGAGTTTGGTTTGGTTTTTGGTTTGGCATATTATAGGTGTGTCCCACAGGGAAAAGCTTTAAGGGAACAGGGTAAGTGAAATAGGGAAAAGGAAATAGCCAAGAAAAGTCGTGCACTCAAGTGATCTACTTTCCAGATCTGAAGCATGGAAGGAGAGCTGTGGAGCATAAACCTCACTACAGAGAGGAGACCAGCCTTCTGTGTCCCTGTATCAGACAATCATTGGCTATGGGATATCCCCAGGATGTGTGGGGGTTGTCACCTTCTGAGCAAGATGGCGCCCGCCAGCTGAGCAAAGTTCTGCAGAGAAGAGGCCAACAGAAGACAACACCCACAGCATCTTGGGATGGGTATCCCGTCCTCAGAAAGGGCATCTAAGTGGAGCACAAGCTCTCATTAAGTGACTTGTCTCCTGTCTAACAGCTCATGGATGACACAGTTGTAATTTGTTTCAGATCTTTCTTGACTATAAAGCCTGGATTCTTTTTAGACCACGTTGCCTCCCCAGAACATTAGCACATTGAGGGAATATACAACACAACAATAGCAGAACCAAAGGAAATATAGTTGCCATCAAGGCAGCGCCAACTCATGGCCACCCTGTGTGTGTTGGAGTAGAACCATGCTCCACAGGGTTTTCAGTGGCTGGTGTTTCAGAGGAAGATTACCAGGTCTGTCTTCCAATGTGCCTCTGGGATCACTTGAACCTCCAACCTTTTGGTTAGCAGCCAAGCACATTAACAGTTTGCACCCCCAACTTTGAATTTATCCCCACCTTATCTTACTCTTTTAAGTTGGTTTCCTTGTTTGTTTGTTTTAGAAAAACAAAAAAACGCTATTGTTTAAAGTCACCAACATTTAGTCACTCCAGATCTCCAGATCATGATTGGGACAATTTATTTAACACCTGTTCCAGTTACCTATTGCATAGCAAATCAACTCAAAACTTGTGACTCAAGACAATTGATTGTTACTGTTTACCATTTTGACAACTTACTGGTCTCTGCTGGGTGGTTTGCACTTAGGGTCTCAGTTGCCGCCTGGGGCTGGAGTGGTGAATGGGCCGGACATTCAATATGGCGTCCGCACATGCTGGCTATTGGTGCTGTTGACTGGAGTGCTTCATGTGCCTTCAACATGGGGTTCTCACAGAATGACGGCTGGGTTCTCAGAGGACATGTCCCAAGAGCCAGCATCTCATGAGAGCAAATACAACTGCCAGTGCCCAGAACTGACAAGGAGTCACTTCCTTTATGTCCTATCAACCAATGAGCCACAGGCCAGCCCAGATTCAAGGCATGGAGAAACAGGATGCATTTCTTGATGGGTAAGTGGCATGTGCATACAGGGAGGGAAGGAGGTAATGGGCCATCTTTGGAAACAAACATCTACAGTATCCAAGGTAGTGGATCACCTGGCCCTGCCTAACCTTAGAATTTATCTTTAGCCCATCCCCACTTGTACCGACTCACCATTTCCCTAGACTCCTCTGTATTTTCTGAATATCCCACACCTCATATATCTTTGCACGTGTTTTTTCGTCATAGAATGTTATTCCTCACCTTCTTGTGTAATGAAAACTATTCATCTTTTAAAGCAGAGCTTAAATATCACATCCTCTGAGACATCCCCTGCTAGGTTCCTTAGTACTTTATGGTATCACTTGTTGTTTAACACCCTTCAATGTCCTACTAAACTCTAGTAGGTCTGAGAAGTGTCATCATGTCAATAGGTATCATTCATATCTAACCTGTATCATACCTGTTTGTGGAAAACATACAGTCATTCCAAGCAAGAAGTCATGAAACCACTGTCTACAACACATTG